GCTGAAACGTCCTCCCGTTGGTGTGGTGTGGTAGTTAGGAGAGGGGGGTGCCAGCTCAGGTGTCGTCCACGTCACTTGACCATGGTTCAAAATTACGTGGTCCGTCGCCAAAAGCCCTAGTGTAGCTGAACAGTGCGACGTTAATATTCAAAAAATCAATCAATCAATAATACTACACTTTGACGCTAAAACTACGATACGACTTTAACCTTTCTGTGCACTGCTATCCGTAAAATTATTCCGAAGATTTTGGAATGCAATAAAAGGACCTTAACAATTGCGAAGGATTTACTTTTTCCAGATTATTTGTGCTTCTTTATTTCTTCGCCGCGCCCCTCCCCGAATACATCACGTACGCGTGCCTACGTGGAAAACGGTCGGCATTTGCTAGCGAATCGCGAAATTTTTGATCGGCACAATCAAGGTTTAGTTATAAACCATACAAAAATTATCAAGATAAGTGTTAATTTTTGTTTTAAATTATATATATGACAAGCCCATGAGGTCACTGGTAATTAATAAACTAATTTTTAACTTAGTATTGTTAAATTAATTCTAAAATACATTGTGTAGCACTGATATATTTATAAGTGTAATATATCAGTGTAAATGTGTACTTTATTTTTTATTATGTTAGAATGTATTTTTTTTGTTTGTTTACTTTCAGTAAATTAATAATTTTTTGAGATAATCTTTTGATCTCGACTTTTCAATATGCTAGCGCCCCCTTGTAGAGTTGTCATGCCCCCAAAGGGAGGAGCGACCCACAGTTTGAGAAACAGTTGTCTACAAAGTTCCATTGTGCCTAGAGAAGAAAAAGTCATGTTTCCAGAACTATCATGCTGCTTTTAATCGTGACTGAGCAAAATATGCACCACTATTTTTTTAAAACTTTGGATACCCTTTATTTGAAAAAGTGTTTAATATTATTAATATGTACCAGCTTTTGTTAAATAATTATAGTTTTGCGAGATTTATCTAAAATATTTGCAATTATTTCCCACTAAATCTAAACTCAGTGTCGCCACAGCCCATGAGGGCCAAGGTCTACTGCACCTGTCTCAGTATACATGAACTTGGGCGCTGAGTTGCATGAGCTGATGTTTCGGTTAGGTAGTTCCGGTTGACGCGAAACCCCCAGTGTTCAACTCCCAAGAAAGCCTGGTACTCATTTATGAACCTACTGAAAGAATGAAGGGCTGATTCGACCTCGACCCTGCCCAGCCCTGGAATTGAACCTTGGACTTGTGGCGTGGGCGCGTGAAACGCTACCACTCAGCTATTGGGCTTATTATTTCCCTCTAGTACATTATTTTTGTCAAAAATTCACAGCACATGATTCAAAAAGTACGAGTATGATTCTCAAAGTATGAGTGAGGATCGTATGTAAAAAATGTATCGCAAGAACAAACTTATATCCAAAGATATTGCATTTTTTGTATTTGTTACCTTAATTTTGGACACCATAGTATATTAAGTAATAACATAGAATCAGTCATATATTAGTGAATATATATTTATACATAAAGACTGTCAAGTTATTAATTTAGAGACTTGTATATTAGTTTTTTTTTCATTAAGGTATCCAACTATGTTCCGAACTGTTATTTTGCAAAAGCTATAAATGGATAATTTTTATGATATTTAGTGTCACTTATAACAGAATACATATAATAAAATTGTTTTAAGGATATCATTATAGTAAAAAAAATTATTTAAATACAATACTTTGGAAGAAAATTAACGTAGAATTATCTATTTTCAAACCGATCCCCTTTTATGGGAAATGCTTCTATAATAATAATATTTTGCCTGTATATAGCTCAGACATATATAGAAAGCCTGAAAACTAGAATTTTTAAAATATACAACTTAGAAGCAGGTTTATCCTTATCTTAATACAACAGAGTGGTGAAATTTTAGGAAAAAACAATGATAATCATTTCAATTCGTAGCAACTCTGAAAATAATGTAAATTTTTCAAAATTCGTAATTCAGGCCCTTTGCTTTTATAAATTTCAGCTTTATATAAGCAAAATATTATTATTATAGTAGCATTTATCACATACAAGGAGAATGTTTTGAAAATAAGTAATTCTATGTCCATTTTTTGCCAAAATATTGCACAATTAAGTAATTTTTTATTCTAATAATACTCTGAAAACAATTTTATATATGTATTTTTTAAATATCATACAAATTATCCATTTTTCGCTTTATTTAAATCATTTTTCCGAAGGTAGTCGGATACCTTAAACTAATACAACAAAAATACTGCGCGTAGCTTTTAGTAATTTGATTCATAAGCAATATGTTAAGATTTTTTTATTTTTAGAGAAAAGTGCATTCAGCAAGAAGACAGAGAGAAAGTATTTCTGTAATTGCATTGATTACATGTATCCTTCAGATAATGCAAGGAAACAATAAATCTTTATCTATATTCAATACATCTTTTAGTATATATCTATTTCTTTCTTAGTTACTAGTTTTAGTTTATTTAGGTCTTACAGAGAAAGAATACAGCTAAGTCTTAGTTATATATTAGTGAAAATATTTTTTATCTAAATGTAATGAGTAAAGAGAAACGGAATTGAAATGAAGCAGAAAAATGAGAAGCATTAGAAAATACTTTCCGGTAGGACTTGACACTCATAGCGAAGAATGTATAAGAAAAGAACTTTGAAACAAAGCATTAGCAGGAAAAACAATAAGCTTACAGGAGAAGAATCACACCCTGAAATATTGATTGGATTAAGTATTTTATACTTAGATATGGTATATCTTGTTTGTGTTTTATTTGCATTACCGTTTGTGTTCAGTTTAACCTGAAAGGCTAATTTTTTTTTAATTAAAAAATTCTTAAAGTTAAATATGATTTTCAGATACAGTTTGTTTCATCTGATTGGCTAAGAATTAAAAGTTATGCCACTCTATGCCATTATGTCTGTTTTAGCGTGGATTAAAATCAAATTGAACAGTAATGATCGAGATAAAATTAACGAAGTTTATTGCTCAAACTTAAAGAAAAAGAAAATTATACTTTATAAAATGTACTAAAAAATTTATTTAAAAATCTCCAAAAATGGTGTTTTTTTTACATTTTACTTGGAAAATATACATTCAAGGTATCAGACTGCGTTCGAAGTCGTGATTTTGATAAAGCGCACAAAAAAATACATTTTCTGATTCCTACTATTCGTTCACACTCTCCCTATATATATATAAGGCCAGGAGTTTGTTATTGCACTACTATGCCTAATATTTCCTATCTTGAATAGTTATACTTAGATTCTATAGCTATCTGTATATATATATATATATATATATATCTTGTTCAAATTTTCAATCCCTAAAATAGTTTTCATTTATCCACTCGATTTCAAATACATTTTTTCAAACTTATAGTGGATGATATTTGATGTTAATACAGATTTTTCAAATATTAATTCATTAATTCTATTTAATTAATGAAAAAATAGTAACAAACAAAAATAATAGCCCAACAACATATATAAAAAGGAAAATTGCTCTTTGGGTCCCTGTAGCGTAATGGATACTGAGTTGAACTTCTGATTGAAAGGTCGTGGGTTTGAATCCCACCTGGGATGGCCTAATTTCTGAGAAAATGTGATTTAATATTACTATGCTATTTTATTCATTAAAACAGCATAGTAAATAATTAAATTTAATTGATGACTAAAGGACAACAAACAAAAGTAATAATTCAGCAGTATTTATACAATAGTTAGGAAAATGGAAAATCACTTTCTATTTTGTCACGTAATAGTGTTATTCTGTCATATGTATATATATATTTATATTATTTGTAATTATTTAATAAAAGTAACAAAAATAAAAAAAATCTCTTTGTTGACCTAAGTAGAAGTTGATTAAAAAAAAAATTTTTTTTTTTTGACATTGTTTTATATATTTTATCACTTGTATTAGAATATACAGTTGTTTTAAGAAAATTATTATAAGAAAAAATTGTTAAAATAAAATTTTTCAGTAAAGAATAAAAAAAGAATTACACATTTTCTTCTTTTTATGAAAAATGCTTCTATCACAAGGGGAGGGTAATTGTTTGGGCTCGGGGGCCACATTGGGAAAGCGGAGGGTACCAGAGGGCCCCACCTTTTTAAAATGATTGCATTCATTTGTTAACTTTGCATCTCAATAAAAGGTGTTTTCACTGCACCATAAAAATCAATAAAAACAAGTTAAATAAAATAATGGCACTTTTATTCCATTTATTTAGTATGCTAATTTCATGGAATTTCTGACTGCACACAAGTACATTTAATTTTAAATTGACTTTTTAATGCAATTTTTTTTAAAAAAAAATTGGCGTGAGATTACTTGTTGAATTTCTGATCCCAGTTTGTAAGTTTATGTCAACCAACTTGCATCTATATTTACTCTTGTTGATTTTTATATAAGGAAAACGTAGCTCACAAATATATGCTGTTGTTGTCGTGTTTTTCCCGAAGGAAAGGAAGGAAATTAGCCACAGCCTG